ACCTAAATCACTCTCCCACCAAATTTCATTCCTTTTTGGTGTTGGTTACCTTCTATCAGTATTTTATATATTTTACCTGTTAACTCTTTTGTTATTTTGCATCATTCTGTTTTGTATCATTTGTTGCTGTAATTTATTTCTGTCTTCTTTGGGATCTGAAAAATCCTTTGTTATCATCTCACTCAGAACTTTTAATTCACTAGACCAATCTTGCCCTTGTGCCATACCTTCTCCCAAATCTGTATCTTCCTCCAAATGCTCTTTTTGAAGCCTTTTAAATTTACTATCTGAAGGTTTAGGATGCTTTGGCCAAATTTTTTTTCCAACTGGCTTTAATATTTTCTCTTTTTTTTGGTCCTATGTTAGGTCTTAGTCACAAGAGGGCGCTATTAACAGAGGGAGAGTAACTCCTTCACCCTAGATGCCATTTTTCTTCATTTTAAATTATTCAGACCAATAATTTTTATCTTTTTTCCTTTTGGAGGATACAGTCGTTTTAATTCAACTTAATAATGTTCTAAATTTCAGTATTCCAAAAATATTCTTTGGGAGTGATAATGATATTTATAATCCATACATGACCGACAGTAAATATTCTCTTATTTGTTAATCCAGAAAACGTAGCAAAAACAACATTCTTTCAATCTGTATTTCCAAAGCATATATTAAAAGTTAATTAATTGTTACATTTCTTAAAAGTCTGTTATCAAAAAAAACAAGGGGAGGCGTGATTCCAAACTGATAAAAGACGACAATTCCTGGCCAAGCCAGGAATTTACTTTCATTCTAAGCTCTATCACTGCCTCTTCCTTATCTCTGTCGATATTTGTTCCAAGCCTTTCCACTCCCTCTAACTTTTCAACTATTATTGTTCAAGCTTTCCCATATCTAACATAACTCACCAAAAAAAATTTTTATTAGGCTTTTAATTTTTTTTTCCCCCGGAAAGCCGAGCAGCAGCTAGTTTCTACTAGTGCTGTCCCATGGAGGACCCAGGGGCATGTCCCCATAAATATAACCCATACTTATTAGGACTTATGGACACTCAATTAGAAAAAGCTCGTGGATTATTGGTTTTATATATGGTAACTGCAGCGAGGCTATTATAAGCACAAAGTTGGAAGACTACAGAAAGACCAATAATGGAGGAACAGATTGTGAAGATGGCTGAGTTTGCAGAAGTGGCTAAATTGACTTGTTTGACTAAGGAGGGAACTACAATTGCTTTTATAAAAGACTGGAAACCCTTTATAGATTCTTTGCTGAAAATGGATAAAAATGAACTGATTTTGGGATTTATTAATTAAAAAGTTTTGTTTATGGGAAGAAGGGAACTATGATATGCAATATGGGAGGGTGGAGATGATAATTGCTATGGCTGTAACTGCTGCAAAAAGATTAGAAGTCACTTCTTCAGAGATTTTAATGCTTTTTTGCTATACTTCGTTTTTCTTTTACCCCTTCATAATTTTTTTCTTTCTCTATTTCTTCTTCTATGTTCCTGTAGTTTTAAAAAATCTTTGTAAAATCTTCTTTTAATAAAAATTATTCATAAAAAAAGATAAATATAACCTATACAAACAAAAGCCTTTTTGGGGTCTTCCATAATTTTTAAAAGGGGAAAGGGGACCTGAGAAAAAAAAGTTTAAGAAATACTGGTCTAGAGAACACATATAATAAAGTAAATAAGGTTTTGCTCAAATATTTATTCATGAAATTTATAGACTGCCTCAATCCATTTGGACTCTAAGTATTTTACTATATGTAACTAAATGCAACAAAAACAATAATAATAATTCATAAACTCATTACTTACTGGTTGGCTTAGATAAGAGACAGGTAAAGATGTTGGAATGTTCCAATTAGTAGACATTATTGTTGTCAAAGGAGGTGTATTAGGCTGAAAAATTGTAGGGCCAGGAATTTTTACCCAGAAAATACTATACTTTTGTACAACTGTGACTCTGTGAAGAAGAGACAACGCCTGTTAGTTAATATCTGAACTGTAAAGATATCCTAACACAGACTTAATGGATTTTTTTTAAAAAGATCCTGCCAAACTTCCATCTAAAATAGCCCAGAAAATCCAGCATTCATCCCTCTAAAAAGGCTACCCATTCCTGAGTTAGAGAATTAAAAAGTGGTAGGAGGATTAACCATACCCAATGTCTGACAGAGGAAAAAAACCCAAGGATTGATATAGATATATAATAAATATTAAAGGAAGAGACCATATGCAGTCTTCATGGTATGTGGGTCATGTTTATTCTGCAAACCTTTTAAGTTCCTTAACTTTATTGCAGGTGATCAGTCTGGATACAGAGGAGCTAAAATAATGAAAAAATTCTTCCCTGATGTCTACATATGTACTAGCCTTCAGACTAAACAGGAGCACTGAGAAAGCAGGACTCCTAATTACCCAGGGGTTCAGCCTTGGTTCAAGGTGAGTGACGCTCTTGCTGTTGCTTTGTACAGCAAGACAGGGATCCCTTGCAACATTGACATGTGAAGACTGAAGGTTATCTAGGACTTTGTCAACATGACGGTCAAACCAGAGACTTCCCTGTCTTTCGTATTCTGCATGCCACAGATATCTTTGAAAGAAATAAATCAGAATATCCAAACAGGAAGTTTATTTTAATACACTTACAGAAATTGTATTTTCTTTGGCGCATCTCTAGGAGCAATCCAATAAGCATCCAGATGGTTTTTCTTGGATTTACTTGTGTGACTAACAGCTGAATTCTACAAGATACGGAAGCCCCACTTTAGCATTACGTAAAAGCTGGATTCATACATTGCACTATATCTTAATTGTATGAACTGCGGTTCATTGAATAAGCCACAATCACTCGAGTGCAAATGCTGCATCAAGCCAGAAACAAACAAAATATCTAATGACTTAGTAAAATGTATGAACCAAGTCAATAATTGGGTTCATAAACTATGCTAAATTCTAACAATTCATAGTAGCTGGTTCATAAATACCAAGCCATACAAAAACTATGATGACTCAGTTCAACACATCACACTGACTGAGCTCAAACACAACCGTGATTTGTTTCGCTTAGTATGTTGTATGAATGCAACCTTGCAGTTTGAAAACAATTCATTGTTTAACATTTTACATAAACCCAACTGTGACTTTTTCAACAGCCACAGCTTAAAATAAAACACACAGCCACTAACAGAAACCCAACAAACCACTTTTTGACTAAGCGTGATATAACCCAATTATTGTGGTGCCAAACAACTTTGCTGGGACAGCTACAATTAATATATGAGCAATCCCATATGAAAGGCAGTCTGAGTTCCTAGATCATAAACCATTTAAGGCAATGAATTTATGCACCAGGAGGTTTATTCTGCCGAAAAATGGATTATATTCTCAAATGGGTCACCTCAATCCCTAGCTTTTAATTTTAAAGATTTCAGTGGCTTTACTGCTATTAGATATTTGAATGTTTTATTTTAATTGGTTCATTTATTTGAATGTGCTTTTACTATTTTATTATGTTTTCATATTATAGCATCTAGCCTTCATATTCTCAGGCAGACCATCCGGACAAAGAAGCATGTTGAGTTGTGTTGCTCAGAGGCAGATTAAGGAAGCAGCAAATCATGCTTCATTTTAATACCTCAAAGAGAAGGGACTAGATACCACCTGTTTAAAGTTTCAGCAACTTGAGGATTTATTTCTGTGAATATCTGAACCCCAAAGAAACTCATCGACATTATCCAATCTGCACACTGCTCCAGAGTTTTAATACGTCAATCAGAAAAGGCAGAGGGATACTGAAGAGTTAACTGAGATAAGAAAGCAATAGGGAAGGATATGTAAAGATACTCTGCTAACAGCTAGTAATTAATTCTCAATCACATAACAAGTAGAGGGAACCCTATTATTTAAACATAGTCTATAAAGGAAAAAATGAATATTATTAAAGCTTCAATAGTGTTGATTATTTCCAATACAAAACTGCTGCAAAGATAAAATGGTAATTTAAAGCAATGATGTTAAGTGTGCTTCCTGCATCATCTATTGCTCAAATCTAGTCAAAATTGGCTGGCGGAAGCCATTTTCAAGATGTAGACTTCTTACCTTTACATGCCCACATGTGAGGAGCTGAGATCTTCTCTGATCAGCTAATGCAAAAGAACCAACAGCTGGGTCTTCCAAGTGGTCAGCGTTGCGAGCTTGTAGAAAAAAGCCTTCAAATGTAGGCCCAGACAAACTAACTGAAACCAGGAATTTGAGAACAGGAATGGATATGGATCTCAGTTTATTGTGGCAACAGGAGCAAGCTTCTAATGCAGCATTTCCCAAACTTGCCAACTTCCAGGTGTGTGGACTTCAACTCCCAGAATTCTCATCAATGGCTATGCTAGCTATGCGATTCTGGGAGTTGAAGTCCACACACCTGGAAGTTGGCAAGATTAGGAAATACAGGTCTAAACCAATATAGAGGTATAACAGAACATCCTTTAGTTAACAGACAGGCAATGTTCACACAATGCACCTAGAAAGAAACATCAGTTATCAAGGATATGCATGTGCCACTTTCATGCACACACCTCAAGTACATTAACTGCACTTTCAGAATTATTTGTTTGTTTGTTTATTTATCTGAAAAAATAAACCATTCAATAGCCAAAACGCTCTGGACAGCTTATAATAAAGACACCATACATTATAATATTTATAATAAAGACACGATACAAACTGCCCAGCAGCAGGGTGGTCTTCAACATCTAAAACAATATGAATTACAGTACAACTAGAATACGATTAAAATACAATTTAAAAACCTGGAAAAACGTTACCATGTCATTTTATGTTACCACATCATTTGAATTTTACATAGTCACCCTCTCATATTTTTTTTTTAAACCAGATGCTATAATCTAAAACAAACTTAAGGTACAGAGCCTGGGTTAAGACACCCAAGATGGCAGCTGCTTAGAGTCTGAACAACATGGTAATTCTGAAAACTCTATGAAAAAACTGTGCAAGGGAAGTAAAAATGGCACAGCTACCTCAGGTTTTCTCCTGAACCAACCTCTGATCTTTAAGAGTTGGAAAAACAAAAGAGCCTACTGTAAACGTTATTAGGCGATGACAATTTACATTCTCACGTTAGGAATGAACCACTGTAAACTCAAACTGGGCTTAACTAGGCATCCCAACTCATCTGGAAATCTCCGCGCCAGGGAAAGGTGACCTATATCCAGCGTATCAACCACATCTCTGAAGAAAACAGCAGTGAAGGAAACAAACAAACAACAACAAAAAATGAATACCTTTCACACGATCTCCTGGCTTAAATTCTGTCACATTCACTTTAATGGTGTGCTTAGGAAATTTCTGAGGCAAATGCCCATGAAGAGGCATCATGGTGCTGCAGGCTTCGTATACTTTTCCATCTGGATAACCAACTGATTGATCAGAAAGACACGCAAACAGCCAAGCGATAAGAGTTACTCTGGAAGATTTCATCTACCAAAACAAAAACCGGTGAACATCACAGAGCTGCTGTAATTAATTTTTTTTACATTTTCCAAAAGCAGTCTTGGCAGTCTTCCAGTTTAACCCCAATCTCTTTCCTTTTTCCCAAACTCTATTTCATAATTCATTACACCCTTTGGAAAGGTCTTCCCTTTTTCACCTTTTGCCCCTTAACTGCCACCACTGAGGTCCCAGCATGATCAGTTCACCCCACCAGACTATCCAGCACCTTTTCTTCCTTCTGACCCCTGCCTCCCCGCTCAGCCATCACCAGTGTCCTAGTCTTGCATATTCTACCATCCCATCCACCTTGCCTTCCTCCCCTGCTTCCCTTCAACCACCATTACTACTGTCAACCTTGACTTCTCCCTCCTAGAACAATTGTTTTGGTCCATATCCAGAATGAAAGAACCATGGTTTATTCTGTACCTGGACCAAACATGTATGTTTTGGTCTGAATACAAACTACATGAAACCTACCTATTGTGCTGCATACAGAAGAGCATACAGGTTTTGCATGTCCCTACTAGTCCCTGATAATTCCCTGTAGTCTCCCATTAACCAGTCCTATCATGCTTAAGGCCCAGACAAGATGAACCAGTATTGCCACCAGCAGAGAGACAGAGAACATGAGATCATTTCTAAGATAACTAATTTCTGCTGGGAACAGATCTTTACTATAGTATATATAACATAAATTAAAAATATAAATTCCTGCTACTACTTTCTTCTGGCCAAGAAACCCTATTTTATTCTGCCTTTGATGAGGAAGAGAGACATTATCCTCACCAAAGTCCTGATGGATAAACTGGGCTAAGAGACAGTCACTGGCCTAGGATTCCCTAGTTTCATGGCCAACTGGATTTTTGTACTCAAGTCTTTCTAGTTGGCTTCACATTCTACACACTTCTTTTCTAATCACTTTCTGAAATTGCTTGTTAACTGCTTTTCAGATATTAGAAACTTTTCAATAGACAAGTCTGAAAACACTGGATGAGTTTCCTTCAATCCTTATTGAAAGAAAGTTTTAACCACAAGTTTAAAAACTTAAAAAAAATTGGAGAATAAACAGCAAAAGGTTGATTAAAACTTTGATTTGGAAAGTTACAAATGGACTAAGGGTCCAGATAAATTTGAAATAAGATTTTGGAATTAATTATAAAGAATTCTTCCCATGGGAAAATGCTTTTGTTTTTAATTTTTAAAAAAATATATTGTAAGTTTTTAAAAACTGGACACTAGAAGGAACCAAAGATTACAATTAAAGGAGAAGAACACAAACTCAACTTACAGTTACAGAATGAAGAAAAATATTCTAACATTGCACATATTGAAGGGTTTTTTGAAAAATAGACTCAGAAGTTAACATTAATAGTGTCAGCAGACACATCTGCCTCTGTGGCTAGACTGTCTAAAAGATGTTATGGAAGAGGAACAAGTTCTCCTTGACAAGATCATGACTGAGTTGAAAGTAGGTTTACAAATGACAGGCTATAAGAATGACATGGAAAAAGATGTTACACTGGACATACAAAAGAAACCGTCTGATGCTTTAATCATTAAAAGGGAAATACAAACAATAAATCAAGAGAGTGACCTGGATAATTTTCCTATATTGGATTTACAAAAGA